TTAGTCATAACTTGCATGAATGTGCTTAAAGGATTAGAGGGACCAAATAGCGTCATTAACCATTCTGAGTAAACAAGAACAAACTTGCTTTTGCTTAAGTGGTCAATTCTATTGAAAAGTAGGGAGCACAAACTGAAGGTTTCTGGTGTTATTGGGATGATGATGAGTTTCAGCAAAGCAATTTGCAGATTGCATATGGCATCTTTAAGCTTGTGAATATCTTTAGGTCCCAAGGCACTTACAATTGATACTGGGCATTAGGAGTCAGAATTTGGGTTATTTTTGTGGCAAAAATAATTCGAATCATTTTCACAGTCCTTTTCTATGAGCTTTTCTTATGATATCAAATAATATTGGATGTTTTAAGCATAGGAGGTGGCGATAGTGAGGAGCATGGTTTGGTGACTCTTTAGTAAATATCAAATGCCACCTGTATGATGAATGATCAGAGAATATTTTAAATAGATTGCAAGAGAGGATGAATGAATATTTATAACTTGGGATTTTCTAATATCATGCTTCATTTCTTCCTTAAAAAATGCTTTAAACTTAAAGAAAATACTGCTGGTACTGTTGTTTTTCATCATCTTGGACACAATGCTTTACTCACATCGAAGTTTTCTGTTAAGGCATCCTAATTATAACCAAGTGGCTAGAAGGGGAAAGCTCCAAAGGCAATAATGGGATATACCACCACTTAATGCTCTTACATGTATGTAGGTCAAGTGGAACAACTAAAGAAAATGGTCCTGCTGTGTGGGCTTCACAGACAGGACAACAACCAACCAAGGCTTCATGGAAAGGCTACTGAAAAGCCAGTTGGTAATAGCTGTATGCCCGATCAGAATATATGGTACTAGAAACTCCATACTTGAACGATGTGAGATATAAAAGTGATTGTTGGTTTCATTAAAGATAGTATTTTGTTTCCAAGGGAAATATGTAGATCAATTGTTTGTGCCATGAGAGCTCATGTTTCTTTTTGGCAGTATTATTGGGTAATGGCCCTGCAGAAAACACGACCAAATTTACCATTCTCAAAAATGGCTTGTTTACTAACTTTCCTTGGACTGATAAATTGATGTGCACATTGTGTTTCAGTTTATATCTGAGTAAAAGTTTTGTCAAAATAAGTAATGGCTGTGTGAACACCAAAGCTCTAGGCTTTTCCATTTCTTCTAATTGGATACCATTATTCTTGATATGTTTAATTTTGCATCTCAAGGAAGGAATGATTTGCGTTTGTTGTACATTCTAGAATTATATATTTTTCTTAATTTAGTTCTTGATTATTGTAATATTAGGAGTTAAATAGATTTGCATGCTTCAGGAAAATGCTGACATCTTCTATGATGTATGATATAGATGTGGCTAATATCTTAAGTGAAGAAACACCACAAAGGTTTGAGCAGAACAAACAAGGAAGTGAGCTTTATAATTTTCTTTATCCTGATAAAGAGCTCCTACCAGATGATAAAGAAATGACTGTATTTGATCATCTTGAAGAGCTACGCCAAAGAATATTTGTGTCAGTATTGGCTGTTGGAGGTGCTATGTTGGGATGCTTTGCATTTTCAAAAGAACTGATAATGTTTCTTGAGGCTCCAGTTAAAACACAGGGTGTAAGATTTCTGCAATTAGCTCCTGGCGAGTTTTTCTTCACAACTTTAAAGGTGAGATTGAATGCAATCCTTTTGTCTTCAGGAATATAAATACCAGTTTTTGGTCGCAACATAATGTGGGTATTTTACCCAATTTATAGAAGAGCTTTTTTGCTGCAAAATCAAAAGTAAGGTGTCTTGTTCTAAAAGTTTTTAATTTTTTAACTTATGCGGGAAGCTCATTTGGTAACAATATTTAATGAGATCTTTTACATTTTCAATTTACCCTTTAGTAATTCATAAAATTGTAAGGAGAATTATATTGTTTTCACTTCAATCTTTTTGTCCAATTCTTTCTCTTGATTTCATTTATTTTTTTCTAATTAACAAATTATTTTATTTTATTTATATCTCTTAACTCAAAACTTATGATTTGTTTTAATGAATTTGAATTTTTTATTTATTATATATACATAAAAATAATAAATAGTTTTCTACATCCTACATCACTTTTTTATTATGTTTGCCAAACACACTTAGCTTTTCTTTACAGCACTTTCAGAGCAATTCTACTCAAATAATACTTCCTACAGAAGCTCCAATGTGCCAAACAGGCCCGATAGCTATCTTTATAGTAATAGACTTAATATGGAAATGTAGATGCTAGCTTATTTGGCTACTACTGCAGCCACATGAATTGGGTGCACATCCATATTGCTGAAGTTCTTGAATGTGTTAGGTAGCTTGGGAATGTCATGGTTTGTATTTCCTATGATTCTAATTGAAATTGAAATCATAACACGTGTGTATGTAATTGTGTGACTATGTGGAATGAGTACTAACTTTTCTCTCTTGCTCTATTTCATGTTTATTTTATTGGTTTATTTATTTATTTTTTATACCAATAAGTACAGCACCATATGATACCTCTGGAATGATGTGCTATCCATATTAAAGAAAGCTTTAAAAGTTTTTGATTAAATTACATCGTAGTTGTTGTTGTTGCATACTGTAATATCTGGAAGTATGTGATATTGTAATTAATTTTTTGATACTATCTTACTTGATTAACTTCATACTGCAGCCTCAACACTAAATATAAATAGATTCAACTTTGATAAAAAATGAAAAACAAAAGAAGGCCTAAGTTCAAAGAAATAAACAATAAAAAATAAAAAGGATAAAGGAAATACGCTTGATAACAAATGATTTGTGAGTGGTGTCATGCAGGTGTCAGGATATTGTGGCCTTCTTTTAGGAAGCCCTATAATTCTCTATGAGATCATAGCTTTTGTTCTCCCAGGATTAACAAGAGAAGAAAGAAGGTTTCTGGGGCCTATTGTTTTGGGCTCCTCAGTTCTTTTCTATGCTGGTATTGCCTTCTCGTACTCAGTTCTGACTCCAGCAGCCTTGAATTTCTTTGTTACCTATGCCGAAGGGGTTGTAGAATCTTTGTGGTCCATTGATCAGTACTTTGAGTTTGTACTAGTGCTCATGTTCAGCACAGGCCTGTCTTTCCAGGTATTTCCTAATTCTATTGCGGTAAGAGTTGAACATAGATTAGCCGCCATAATTGTAAGTTCTGAAGTTCACATCTATATGAAATTTGAAAACTAGATTGAGCATCTTCCTTTCTAACTTTGTAAGACTGCAACCAGATGATTCTCTTAGCATTGTTTTTGATAAAATCTCAAAGTCAAAATATTTAGATTTCTGCAACAACATTTTCAGGGAAACTAAACTGAGACTGTCTCATGCTCATGCTCGTGCTCTGCACAGACGCTTAACTGAAAGCTTAGATGGTTTCCATTTGATTTATTCTACAGGTTCCTGTAATACAATTTCTTCTCGGACAACTTGGTCTCGTCTCAGGGGACCAGATGCTCTCAATATGGAGATATGTTGTGGTGGGTGCAGTTATTGCTGCAGCTGTACTCACCCCTTCAACAGATCCTCTTACTCAGATGCTTCTGGCGACGCCACTGTTGGGTCTTTACTTAGGAGGTGCATGGATTGTTAAGCTTACGGGACGCTGACTTGACTGTGCAACAATTCAGTGGGCTCGTTTTGTATATTATTAAACAATGAGGCATAGTGACAAGTAGAAAAATCAGCCACCAAATCTTCTACTGATTTCGCATCATCACTGTAGAATTGTTTTTGTTTTTACGTGTATTGTAAACTTTTGCCAGATAGCACAATTGATTTATTATGCTACTAGAATGTTGAATAAGACTTTAAACATAGAATGAGAAAGTATTACTATTAAAGAAACAACCACTTTTCAGAACAAAGTTTCTCTTCACAAGTTGGCTTCAGTTGACAAAAGTTTCAAATCTCTCTCCCTAATTGATCACAGCAACGTTCTGCA